AAATATGCCATTTAGATGTGCAACTGAAATATCTAACTTTGTGGCAGATGCTGCTCTATGTGATCTTTTGTAACTGAAGAGTTCTTTTATCATTTGAGCTTTTGGGTTGTATTTCTCATCTGCTCTTTTCTGCCAGCTTAACTGAGATTTTAAATCAAAACCTAATTAGACTACATATGCTGTTTAGGAAAGAGTTCTTAGGAAAGTAATGATTCATATAGGCTTTGATATTTCCAGATAACATCTAAGAAGAAATGTGATTTTAATTGTTTTAAATAACTTCCAATCACCCTCTTACTCAAATAAAAGTAGTTGAGCACAGTCCTTTGATCAAAAAATATTCTTCAGTAACAGAAATACCAACTCTATATTCCTATCAACTATACCATCTGTGCTTAATGATGAAAGCCTTTATTGACACATATTTTTCAGCTAAGTAGTATTATAACTCAGGTATTCTACGACATATTTTTGATACCAATACCAATCCTCAAATCAAAATTTATCAAATTATATTTAATTCCTAAAAAACAAAAATCTGCTTGAACATGTTGAGCACCTAGGATGTAAGCCAAAGTTTGCTTTTTAGCAATGCTGATATAAGAATCTGGTATCTTTTTATTTTTCTTCTTTGATATTCTGTGAGGGAAAATGAATTATTTTAATATTATTTTAATTATAATGCACTTACCTGAATTATACATTTCAATATTTTAACTAGTGTTAAGAAAGCCCACATTTTAAACACTCTCAACTTGTACTAGGTTAAGGAAACCTGGATCAAAAATGATGACTGGTATCTTCTTCAGGCATTAATAAACACATTTGTCAGGAAAGCCCTGGCCTCTGACAATCACAAAGATGTAAGCTCTATCTTAAAAAAATAAAATAAAATAAAAGCCTCTATATTTTTTATGTCCTACTTAGTTATTTGACCCAGTTCTTAATCAGAAGTAGCCAGAATTTTCTTTTATTCCACAGAGCGATTGCCTGATGCCTTAAGAATAAAAGCTTGAGTATTTCCCCTGATAGAAGGCTGACAAGTCATAATGAGGAACTGTGTCTTCCAACGTCAAGCCAATACAGTTTCTGTTAATTGTCTGAATACTGTGCTGTGACACACTGCATATAAAAATGATTTTCTGGAAACCAAGAAACTATATATATTTCTAAGGAAAATGCCCGCAAATATAACCACAAATTTATAATAGGCAATAGTAAGATTTCATAAACATTTTGTAAAAATCTTAATTAAATTTCAAACAAAAAAACATAAGTGTAAATCCAGATTTCCAGTTACTCTGTTACTTTAGTGATTCAGTAAAGCTATAGCATTTTGTTTCATCATCTAGTTGAAAATGTAATACATTCAAATATTTCTCTTATGTTTACTGTTTAGCCATTACTAATATGTGACTACCAAGACAAGGAAACAATATATAGAGACATCAGACTTTAAGAAGATTTCATAAGAAATAAGTTGGAGATGGATTTGTAGCGAGACAACACTGATATCCCAAGCTTCTAAACCACACAAAAAGTATACTGACATACAAACAATATAAAAGGCATATGCATACTCATTGATACCATCAAAAATAGTTGTTTTGTTAATGTTAAAAATTGTCTGCATTTTCTACAAAATTTTCAAAAACTCCAATGCAACTCAAGAAAAGTTTAATGGTAAGACCTTAATTACAGGACAGCACACTTGAAAAAAAACCCAACAAAACAAAAAAAAAACTCCCTCTGCATACACTTATATATTAAAACTGAAACTCACTACGCAGAATAGCTAAATGTGATCTATAAGTCAAACAACTCCTGTCTACAAACTTCTGCAGTATGAAGCAATTAATTTAAAATATTCTTCAGAGACCAGGAGAAATGTAGTAGAAGACAGAATATTTTGAAGGTACAGTTCATCTTTTTCTGGTTTCAGATAAATGAATGAAAACATAAAGTCTGAGGTTTATACTTGTGCATCAAAGGCATTTTTGATATGTACTATTTGTTATCACCGATAGTACTTTCTGGAAAGGTATAAGTTGCTGACAAACCCGTCATAAACTTCACACTTTACTGTGAGAACTGACTGAGTTGAGGATGGTGTATGGTTTTAGGCTGAGTTGGGGAAGGGGGAAGCAACACCCAATTGCAAGTTTATGCTTGACTGTTACTCAGGGTAAATTTTATTATTGTTTACCATCAGTTAAAATTGGTCAACTGGATGAAAATCTCTCTTTTTTTGTGAACAGAGCTGCCCTCCAAGAATGATAAAGACATCTTAAATACAAATAGACTAGTTAACACTTGTTGTATTGAGCCAAAGCTTAAATACATGATTATTGAGTAAAGGCAGTACTTTTAGCACTTTGTTTAAAAGAAAAAGCAGGTCACCACATAAACCATGACACCCACCAAATGATGTGTACCTAAACCACATAGCTAGATGTCAAGTTATTTCCTATTCTGACGCTTTACCTAAGAATTAGCTAAATAGCCAACATGCAAAAAATTAATATTTACTTACCACGCACACATGCACACACACACACAAATAAATACATAAATAAAAAAAATGTCCTGATTGAGTGTTGTAAACGAAATATATATAAAACACCAGAAAGCCCAGCAAAATATTGCAACAGTCGCAAAATATTGGAGTTCCAAGTTTCACCTCTGCGCTCCTCAGGGCAGCCCATGCACAAGCGCATGAACACACACGTCAGGCCGCTGGACGTGCCACCCGCCTGGCTCTCGCAACCACTCGTACTAATCAAAAGGCTCCAGAGGGACCCAAAAAGCACCAAATCTGGGCCCGGGGGCACAGAGGGGCATCTCCTCCGCCTGGCCATGGGCTGCCTGTGCGCTGTCGTGCAGAACCTTGGACAGCGGTCTCCTGGCCCTCCTCTCAGCGCAGCACACACCAGCCCAGCCCAGCCCAGCCCAGCCCAGCCCAGCCCCACGGCTCGCCCCTCTGCGCTCCCCCCCGCACTGGGTGGGCATCTGCACTGCCCGCCAGATTCCCTGGAGAAAGGGAAAACAGTCCAAGTTGCACCCAAGGCTTGCTTTTTTTTCCTTTCCCCTTCTGAAGTAGCTTTCATTTTTAACACAGATTGGTTGGCCAAATTCTCAAAACATAAAGCAGTATCATCGGGCACTCAGAACTGCAGAAATGTAGGTCACTGGCGTTTGTCTTGTCCATTAAAGTTTCACACAATCATTCTAATGTCAACAACTTTTTCTCTATCATCAAAAAAGTATTTCTCCTCGTTGGGAGTGTGGATGGAAAATCGTTAAACAGCATGAATTTTCTCTTGTTCATTTTCCACACCTTTTACACCCTGAAATTCTGTAGAGTGATGGACCACTTTGTGGTGAAGTTCAGTCAAACTTAACTGTGATACAAAAAAAATGACTTTAAGCATGTAAATGCTGATCGTCTGGCAGCACAAAATAGTAAATCAATTTCTAATTACAGAGCTACTTATATGACAAAGATTTCATTACAGAAATAGATATCTATTTACATTTGATACTCTTTTTTACTTATCTAATTCACCTTAAATAAAATACGCTTACATTATCAGTAACTGAGCACACAGCATATATAAAATGAGTGTGTACACACAATACAATCTAAAAACAGTTGAGTCAACACTTCTGATAAGCCTACCTTACTTTTTCCAGGTTTAGAAAGAAAAGATAAATAAATCAACTTTCCTACTTTATCCAATTAGATAGCAGGTTATTTCAACTTCTGGAGGGACCCATTTTTGTGGCAAATATATGTACAAATTATAGTAAAATATTGGTGAATGGGAATTTTTAGGCATAGTCTGTTACCACGAAATTATTTCAGAAGGCCCTGTGGAAGTTACAGAGCACAGAGGTACTGCCAGGCCTCTTATTTAGAGCAGTGATTTGCATGCATTGTTGTGTTCCACTGCTAAAGCAGAATTTGGATCATACTGGTTAGCGCTACAGTAGTTGAAATAATTTAGTTCAGGGCAGAAATATTCACCTCCTACCAAGTACTCAAAGAGGGGGAAAAAAATCATGCAGTTAGCTATATTAGGCACTGAGGACAACTCTTTTCTTCTGCCCTGTCTTGAGAGATAGGCCAACTAATCTTGTGCAAAAGTAAAGAGAAGGCAACTACAAGAGCCGAAGCGGGACCCTCCGCCTCCCAGCAAAGGAAAAGAAAAACCTCTGGATCTCTCTGAGCCGTCACCAGTGGCACCAAAGGAAACAGCCGCAGCTTATCAAAACGCTGTCACCATCACTTCCCAACCGAGGGCCGCTGCGGTGCCCGTCGACAGACGCTCTTGCCCTCCAGCTTTCCCTGGCTCCACAGATTTTGGCAGAGCGCCTGAAAACACTGTCCCGCCGCCGCTCCCGAGAAGGCCCGGCGCCACACCGCTCTGCCGCCGTCCAGCACCGCCACCCCCGGGGCCAAGCGCCCGACGGAACCTACCCGGAGCCTCCGGTGGGCGCTCCCGGCCTCGCCGGGCACGACCCGCCCGTCCCGGGGCACCGCGGCCACCTGCCCAGCCAGGGCCCACGGCCGGGGCAGCGCCCCCGGGCAGCCCCGGCCCCGGTGGCCGCTCCGAGCCCCGCTCATTGTCATGCAGACCCTGTCGCTGCTTGCCGCCGAGTCGCATCCCAGCCCGCTGGAAGCCGGCAGCCGAGCCGGAGCCAAATCGCATATTCATGAGGAGGGGGAAATCCAGCGCTACGCTCCCAGAGGACGGAGGATCACTTCTTTTTGCGTTTTCTCAAGCCTCCCCCTCTCTCTTCCTCTCTTTTAATAATGCGCTAAGGGGGGCATCCCGGCCGATACCCTCCGCAGCACCGCCCGCACCGTGCGAGCCGCGGCGGCCGGCGCCAGGGGCAGACACCGAAGCAGGCACAACAGGGTCCACGGCAGCCACAACAGCCGAGGGAGGCACGCCAGCCCGACAGCCAGGGACACGAAACACAGCAGGGGCTCCTACCTTACAATCCTCAGGACACGATTTCACCGAGTACTCATCCGACTGTAAATATTTCTGGAGCATAACCTCAAACTCTTCGTATTTCTCCTGAGCGTGCTGGTCGTAGCGCTGGTAAGCCTGGACGCACTGGCTGCAGGAGCCTTCCCCCTTCAGCACCACATCCAGACTGCAGTTCAAAGTGTCCGGATTGGACAATCCGGCGAACAACTCCCAAAGTGTGTAGGAATTACAAAAGGAAAGGTAAAAATCCGTCAGGTCCCAGCCGGGCGCCGGGCTCTGCCCCGTGCCCCGCGGCCGCCCCGACCCCCCTCGCTGCCGGCACACCGCCTCCGCGTCGCCCACGCTGAAGCACTGCCCGGACGAGGAGCCCGGAGGGGGGCACGTCTCCAGGGGCCTGGTGGTGGAGTTCCCCAGGAAAGCAGCCTTGCTGTGCCGGGGCTCGGTGCTGTTGGCGCGGCTGCCGCGGCTGCCGCCGCCGCTGCTGCCGGGGGAGGGCGGGAGGGAGGGCGAGGGGGGGGCGAGGAGCCGGGGCGCGGGGGGCGCCGGCTCCCCCATGCCCGCCAGCAGCTCCGGCTCCGCGGGCTCCGGCTTCTCGGGCGGCGGCTGCTCCTTCTCTCCGGTCCCCGTGAATTTGGCCTCGGCGCAGAACCACAAGTGATCAGAGAGCAGGACCGTGAAAAACAAGAGCGATGCCAGGGACAGTCGCCATTTCTGAGCCCTCTCTGAATCCGTGAAGGGTTTCTCGTTCTCCCGGGGTGCGAACCAGATTTTTAAGCCGTCATCATACTGCCGACTACACATCCAAGCACCCCTGGTCATATTTTGGGAACGCACAGCCCTGGCCGACTCCACCGTGAGGGCTCCTTTGCCAGTGTCACCACAATATGCATTGACTTAAAAGATTGGGGGGATTTTCTTGCCTGCCTTCCCTTCTCTCGCTCGCTTGCTCTCCCTCTCTTTCTCTCTTCCACTCTCCCCCTTCTCTCTTTCTTCCTCTTTTTTTCTTTCTTTCTCTTTTTCTTTCTTTCTTCTTTCTTCTTTCTTCTTTTTCTTCCTCCGAGATATTGTTGGTTTCGCCGGTGGCTCTGCCTTGGTCTCACCACACGAAACAGCCCCAGTCCATCCAACGCGGAGTGCCGTGGAGAAGATAAGAGCAATAACGCAGAGAGAGGAGGAGGAGGGAGAGGAGATGGTGGTGGTGGTGGTGGTGGTAGTGGTGGTGATAGTTGGTGGTGGTGGGGCTGCGCGACTGGTCCTTTCCCCCTCTCACCCAGGCATGGTCAGATCGCAGCTCCCCATCTCCCTCCTGAGAAAAGCCCACTGCCCCCGGACAACCGCATGCCGCGTCCCCCGCTGCCGACGGACGGCTACGGGAGGTCTCCTCGCCTCCTCTTCCTCCCTGCCGCCGCTGCTCCTCTTCCTCAGCCCCGAGCCGCGGCACAGATGCCTGCACCGCTGTCTCAGTCTCTTTCTTCTCTCTCCGCTCCGCTCTAACTGGAGAGACGCTGCTGCAGGGCTCCCGGAGCGCTGCCGAGGATGCTGAAGAGGAGGAGGAGGAAGAGGAAGAGGAGGAGGAGGCTGCCGGGGCCGCCGCCGCTGCTGGTGACAATGGGCTGCGGCTGCCGCCGCTGCTGCCGCCGGGCGCGGTGTCCCCGGGCGCACGGGGCGGAACTGCCAGGCTGGGGGCCCCCGATGGGCACAGGCATCTTGGGCCCCTGGGCTAAGTTGCCGCCATCTTCGTCCTGGAGAAACACTTTTTTGGGGGGAGCTCTGCCTTTTGCGTCATCTCCTCCCGCGCCGAGATCGCTCTATCCTGGCGCATTGGCAGCAGCAGCAACTCTGCCTCCTCCTGCCTGAGGAGGAGGAGGTGGGAGATGCACTGGGGACCACATGGACCCTCCAAAGGGCTTCCTGGATGCAACTCTTTCTATTCATCTCACCGAAGGGACTGCTTAGTACTACTGTCCAGCCCTCTCTCCTTCTGGGTCTCCTTCCCTTTGTGGCCGTGAAACACCATGTCCGTGCAGGATGGTGGCTGGAGAGGTCTGTCTCCGTGTCTGCCCTTGTCATAGCAAATCACAAATGGCATATGGCACTACAGGCTCTGCATCCTGGCCACTTTTGGCCACAAAGTAAAATGCCTGAACACAGTTGCCTGTCTCTCGGTCAGAGAGCTGTAAAGCAAAATTACCATAAACCCCAAGTTGCTTCCCCAAGAGAAGTTTTGCAAAACCCTGGTTCAGCCCATGAGCTTGGTAAATACTGCCTGTATGTGTGTGTTCTCTGTTTAGATATCACTGCTTAGAGAGAAAAACAGAGGGGCCAGGTTTAGCCCTCCTTCTAGGATGATGTAATCACCTAGGGTGATGATCTCCACTTGGACCTATGGTTGAGATCCAAACAACTTCTGTCCCTAACCATCGAGGTATCTTGCTCAAATAAACACATGCTTTGGACACTCCTAAGTGTCTCTCACTCCTTTCTTCTGGCTCATTTATGCACCTTAATGTAACAGCAACAGAAAAACTTGGATCCCACTCAAAACAAGAGAAGGTGCCAACTAGATGTTGAACATTAACACGTAAAGACCTGGTGTTCACCTCGAGACATCAGGTATGTTATCTGGCCAAAGGATAACCAAGACATGTGTTTTAATTTCTCCACTGGACTGGCAAAGGTTCAGAAACTATATTTTTCCTTGTTCCAGAGGCTTTCTCTATCCTGAGTGACTGATAATTGCCCTTGAGAAAGGTGTACAATATATCACAAAAGGCGGATTTGTGAAAACCATTTTTTGGTTAAAGAAAGCTTTTTTTCTTAGCAAATATTGTCTGTAAACTAATACATCTTGCTGATGATTCTTGAATTCTTGAATTAAAATGTCTAGTGGGAAAAGACCTGAGATTAAACAGAGGAGAACAAAACTTGTACCTAATCTGACTGCAGCTGTCATTAACAGAAGGGTGATTTTACCAAGGTATGTGCTGGAATTTCTGTCACTTTGAGCAGTAAATCAAGGCTGGATGTCTTTCAAAAGGAGATGGTAAAACTCAAAAATTGCAGATCTGAGATATGAATTGCTGAGCGAGGTTCTATACCCTGTGTTATGCTGGAGGTCAAAGTGCCTTATCATAATGGTCTCATCGGCCTTACAAGATCTGCGGGTCAAATACTACAGCAAGCAGAAGTTATCTGTGGATTTTATTTTGATAGGGAATACCCTGGAAAGATGCAGAAATAAGTTAATATTGTAAGGAAAGGTCTACAGTACTCAAATCAGAATGTCTTTGCCATTTTCAGTCAATCAGCTCACACTGTCTGCTAATGGTACATTATTAATTTTGGTCTTGGAGCTTTGATTGAAATAATTTGACATACTGGGTTTAGTACTGAATTTTTCTTTTTGTAATGCTTTCTGTTTTGGGACAGGACTGTGACCAAGCTTTTAAAAAGCATTCGTGACAACTTTACTACTCTAAAATGCAACATCATTTATTTAATTACATTTTGCTAGTTTGATTACGTATTTATTGTTAGAATAAAGGGACTGAAGAAGAAATACAGGACCAAAAAAAAAAAAAAAAAAGATAAAAGAAAACCCAGACAAAAAACACCTGGGCTAAGCAACGTATTCCTGACATCAGGTCTGAGATTTTCAAAATGTGCTCTACTAAGATATGTGTCAGTGACTATGTAATTAGTCTGTTTGACAGACAAACTTGAGGAGAAGAAAGTTGGCTTTGGAGTCTACACCTAGCAAAGAGACATAATTTATGCATATATTTTTTTAATGTTGTTTCCCTTTTGTCCTGTTGGGAAAATGAGAGGATAATAGGCAGTTTTGCAATCCTCAATGAAATTATTAAAGTTCTTTATCTCCGTAGTGGAACTTCAAGAATTGGTAATAAAAATGTGCTGGTATTCAGACCTCCTTTGAAACTTAATATAGAAATGAATTCCTAAGTCTTTGCTCCTCTTTTTACACTTGTCTAAGATCAAAGCAAATATACTGAAAGTCAGTATGCTAGAATGGTTTAGACATACTTATATTCTCAAAAAAAAAAAAAAACCATTTTCATGCCATGTAATATTTTCACACATTTCCCAATTTTCTCTGGAAATACAGAGTGAGATTTCTTTTTCAACACCTAGAAATAAACTATAATAAGACATTTGGTATTTTCAAAATGAACATGTCCTTGCTTTTCCAGTGACAGTTTTCTGTAACAGAGAACATGTCATGCAGAACTGTTGCTTCGCCTCTTGTGTTTCACCCAAAGCCCCATTCTCTCTCCATCTAGCAATCTGAATAACTTGCAACTTAGTTGCAGTAGCTGGTTCCTGATGGATCTGAACAGATGCAGTTCAGTTCTCTGGTGCCCCTTAGTGTTAGGTCTTGGAGCTCAAGGGAAAAAATAAGTCTATAAAATAATATCTGAAAATCAAGGATCTGTATGCAGTGAGGGAAAGAATCTGAAGTATACCCTGTAGCTGCTTTCTCTCAAAGTTCCTTCAAAAGTTTATCATAAATCTGATCTAATAAACAGCATTTTATTTGAAATTGTTTAATGAATTATATGAATGGGAAGAAAAGTGAAGAACTTTCCTCAAAAATATCGCTACAGAAGTATGTCCCCATATTCATCATTCTTCCTAAATAACTCTAGTCGTGCAAAATACTTAACTTTAAAATTATATTTTTTTACTGGGAATATTTATTACTCGCATTTCAAAGCTTGACCAAGTGCGAGGAACTCATGGAATCCTGTCTCCCTCGCTGGTGGAGTCACCAGATGTTTCATAGATGGATCTCCTTAAAGTAATGTGGTTCAGTGTCATCTCTGCCACACTGTGCTTTAATCAATACAAACAGAGCTGATGTTCTTAAATTCTTTGACTCGTAATATATAAGACAATTGATTTATCGAGCACTAAAGACAAAGTCTAATAGATGAACATGCACAAATTCAAGATACTTGGAGCTACTGTTTTACCTACATACCATGTGTTTTCTTTGTGAAAATACTTTAGCTTAACAAGCAGAAATACTTATTGATGTAACACATTAATGTTAATAAGCACTTTTCAGGATAGAAGTCTTTGCCCTTTCAAAGAAAATGTTCTTATATTTTTGCCTAATATAATGCAAACATTAATTTACCGCATAATTTTCTTGTTTTACTTTGTTGATTACAATACTGTAACATCAAAAGTGCAGTATATAGGTATTTCAGATTATTTTAAAAGGTTTGAGAGACACATCTTGTCTTTTTAATGTACATTCTTCATATAAGAAGAACTTTCTTTGTAATTGGTAAGAAGCATTTTTTTTTGTAAAAGGCAGGTTATTTTTAAGAGACTAGATTTCATTTTATTTTTGGGTTGATTGGTTCTACTGATAGGAGCAATTGTTGCAAAAATTATTAACAGAAATACTCAGTTAAACCTTTGCACTGGAGGCTCATGCACCACTTTTAATTCCAAGCAAAGATAATCAGATCCTTTACTAGTACCTCTAAGTGATTTTTTAACAGTTTAAACTTTTTCTTCAGTAGGAATATCTATATATTCTTTGTAGGCAAAATGATATGTAATTTATGTGGTTTAACATCCTCAGAGTTGTTTAGTTTTTGTTTTATTTCAACATCTTAAAAAAAATTGAGTATTATATCACCTATTACCTGGGAAATGGATCAGAGATTTAATTATCTCAGTCCATTTGATAAGAATGATGATAACAAACCATGATGGTTGTAAGATACAAAGAAGTTAAGAACACTGAAGAATTATTTGTTTTTCTCATCACATTCGTAATGGCT